CCCAAGAACCCTTCATTTCCGGATTTCGAGACATTTTTGGGACAGCCTGTAGTATTCAATTCTATATGGCGGAAACAATTTGATTTCAATTTAACATTATAATCCGCGGTTACGAACTATGCCCAACTTTGCTGGGAAAGATATTCGTTGATGAAAAAATGATGTACGCTTAATGTAATTAAATTTAATCGTCTCTTTTTCGAAGAACCTCTCAGCTATCTCACAGTTAATTTTTTAGCAAAAGTTGCGATGAACAAGCTGTTTTATGATCAATAAAATAACAAAAATTCGTGTTTATTTAATTCAGTTCAATTTGATAGCTTCCTTTTCAAAGAACATTTTCGTTAGTTTTTCGACAGGTTTTTGGATTATTTATAACCGTGATGAACAAGATAGGTGTCGATTAGAAAATCTCTGCGCATCTTAAATTATCCTTCAGGCTAGATATTTCTCGGTGAAAGAATTATGTACACTTAATTAAATTAAATTGAACAGTCGCTTTTTCGAAAAACCTTTCGGTTATCTTCTGAACAAGTTTTTGTACTGCCACTAGCTGCGACAAACGCGTCGATTAAAAAATCCCTGTGCATCTGAAATTATTGTTCGCATTAGAGAGAAAGGATTTATTGAGAACCACTATTACAGTCGTTCGTGCGACTAGTGCTGGATATTGATACAGGATTTATGTATTCCGTGCGTTAAGTTACAAGCAGAAAAACAAATGCCCGGCTATTTCGAGGAGGAAGAACGAAGAACACGAGACTGTGCTCCAAGTGAAATATCCCGTTGCATGCGTCACTGTCGGACAGTCGTTGTCTCGGAACTGGTATCACCTTGTCGCGTGACTAGTGTCGGCGGTTACAAGTCATTATAAAGTTACATTCGGGAAGAGTAACGGCCAGCATTTTCTCGGGAATTGGATACACCGTTCAATCCCACCCCTTGGCGAAACGTAAGAACGAACGTGTCGCGCCGCTAAAAACATCGCTGCCCGTGTAATCTCGTCGCGTGACTGGCACGAAATATTTCGTCGTCACGAAGTAACACGTGTGGGAACACGAACGGAATCATTTCGTGGAAGAATTGAATTATCTTCTGAAAAGTTACGCACGGTCGAATGGGGGGGGGGGGGGGGTGATCACGTTAGAAGGCGCATTCTACCCTCTAATTAACAGGGAGGCGTTCTGTTTAATCAACTGTTACAAGCGAAATTAAAATATTCCGCGCTCGTTCGAAAAGCTAAATGAATTATTGTTTATTTATAATTAGAAGCTGCAGCAGCCTTCGCTTTGAGGAAAAAAAAGAAGCTAAAAATAATTTCTACGATCTGTCCATGAAAACAGGGGACGAAGACAAAAGGACTCCTTCACAGGACTGTGAAAAACACGTTCGGTTATCAAAAAAATGTTCAAATTAGAAACAACAAAGCTTTGAGAAAATTTCCAGTTCGCCGCCCTCGCGAAAATGAGGGATGACACGCCGTCGACGTTCTAAAAATTCGTGCGTCTAAAACGATGCTAGAATTCTCCGCTTTGTCGACTAACCCTGTAAATAGGGTACCGGCGTTGTTGTAAAAATCTATCCAGCTATAATTAAAAACTGCAAAATCCTCTGCTCCGTGGAAATTAAAAGCAGCCTTCGCGTTCTACCCCGGCAGAAATGATGCTATTATCGAAATCTATAGAGCCGTAATAGTCGCAGCAAACTGCGCCACTGTTAAAGAAGCGGACATTGCAACCTGCACCGAAAATAGGGGATGAAAACGCGAGGACTATTGTTGAGGGACGCTTTTAATTACCGTAAAGCCGAGCCGGGGAATGCGATCTTTATTCTTTCGAAAAAGCTAACCACCTAATCCCGATTTAATGATGTCCATGGATTAAGATCTACAATTTCATAAAAAAAATTCTGTTTAGCCGAAGGAAGATCTTCGCTTGGAGTTCGCGTGGAAAAAACGGTGTACACTCGTATTTCTGTTCGGCTGTGTGTGAGAGATCGTGTTGGGAATCGTCGGGAATGGTTTTACACAGGGAGGAGACAGAGAGAAAGAGAGAGAGAGAGAGAGAGAGAGAGAGAGAGAGAGAGAGAGAGAGAGGCCGTCACAAATAGGAAAGCGTTGATACAGAAGTTGCCATGTAGTCTCGATATTTTGATCACAGCTAGATGGTCAGAGATGAAATTGGCCAGAAGATATCGAGATTCGCGCAAGATTGCGGTCCGAAGATACGGGAGAGAGTGTCATCGAGTTGACTTACGCTTCTGCCGGCGATCACCGTTGAAATAGTCCGGATATGGCGCGCGTGTGTGTGTGTTCTACTTGAACGTTGACGAGTTACAATTCACAGACACCGATCCATTCGGGCATGATTCGAGACAATTGCCGTGTTATTAGAGGACTCCGGACATAACTGAGTGGAATAACACGGGGAGGCAATGATAGAACGATGATCCTATTAATTGATTCGTACTACTGGCAGTAGTGGAGCAACGAAATCAATCGGACGGCACGAGCCAAGAAGCGAACTGCAGTATTTTCGAAAGTGATCCTTTGCACTCGAGCGGTCGCTCTGTGATACAAGTGAAGATTGCTATATCACGTTCTAAAATAATGTTTACATTGTTAAAATTGTTCATATTTAAAAAGCTGTTAAATGTAAAACTGTTTTGTACAAGTTTCAAGATTCAATTTCATACGCATAAAATGCACTAGGTCATGTAATATGGTTAAAATGGAGTTAAAATGACTTCAAAGGGTTAATGCCTGATTCTGAACCCGTTTCACTTTGTATTATTTATTGATTTTAGTGACGAGGAGTATGCGATATGTAGCAAAGATATATTGAATACAACATTGAATTTGTAAAAAATTGTCTCATTTTAAACTTGAGTATTAAATTGTGGAGGATTTTCTTTGGAGTGATTAATAATAACTCAATATTTATATATATCTTCTAACACAAATTATGTAATAATAATTAATTACTAATTTACTAATAATTGTAATTATTACAAATATATCACATCCACATTATTTGTTATAACGTTTCTCCTTTTATCTTTTTTTCGTTTTTGTTCGCACTCTGCTTGATCGTTATTGTACTTTTGTATCGACTAACAAGGGATAATGCATTCAGTGTAAAGTAAAAGTATAATATCCAGAATATTGTTTCTATCCGCTGATTGGTACTACGCGCAGTAGTAAAGACCGACAATGATCAGACAAGATGAATTTGGCATAGCGACAAAGTACTTGTTTATCTTCAGTATAGAAAATTATTTTCTCGTCACTTAAGAGTCTATATAGTATCCGTATAGCGAACTTTCTCTAAAATTTAATATAGACTTCTGCCATCAGCGGAAGAAAAACAGATTCGAAGTTTTCCACGTTCATTTTTCCACACTGCGGAAATTTTCGCTACAACGGCCCTAACTTTTCCATTAAAAGGAACTTCTTCGCAGGACGTTTCGCGTACTCCACTTCAACGCTCAAACTTCGTTTCGCAGAGAAAAAAATTTCGATTGTACAAAGCCGTCGAAGGGAGCAAAACCCCTAAAGGTTGAAGTTAAACGCTCGGTGGTCGTAACTGATTCTCGACAAGAATTCGCGTCTCCGTTGCAATTACAATCTCTCCGCGCCAGACACAAAACGAAATAATTAACAACCAGTCTTATTTAAGGCGAACATCAATTTTCTCCCATAAGAAACGTTTTCTACTGTGCCCGCCACAATTCGTTAAGAAATCTTTTCCCACAGAATTTCCTTTATTTCAACAATAAACGTTGGGGGGTGTTGGTATGCCGTACTGTTATTATTTTTATTTCCTCCGCGAGGTTACTTTGTTATGAACCAAAAATTTGCACAAAATTTTGGCGCGACTCTCCAACGACGCGACAAGGTATTCGAAACAATCTTAGAAGAATTCATCACGTACTCCTCAAGAACAGAAATTCCAAGCGATCAATTAATTTTCATGTCCTTTGAGAAGTTCTCTGCAATTATAATTTTTATTTCTATAGAGAATCTATTTTCTCGCAAAATAAAAATATGTTCTGATATTGCAATGATGCAACAAGATAAACTAAAAATTCCAATGGAATCGATGGTACAATTTCCCGGCAAAGTAATCCAAAACGATCAAATACCTTCTTGTTAAACAAACAAGACTCCCGACACGAAGCGCAGTTATCATTTTTATTTCCGCAAACCAAGCCACATTTTCGTCAGAAGGAAACGTATCTCCGTACTTCTATGATGCGACAAAGTATCCTAAAAATTCCAACGAACTGGATGGTACAATTTTCCAACAAAAAGAATCCAAAATAATCAAATACCCTCTTTTTAAACAAACAAGACTCCCGACACGTTGCACAGCTATCATATTTATTTCGTCCAAATATGTTTCAATACCGCGATAACGCAACAAGGTATCCCAAAAGTTCCAAAAAGTGTGCACCGCAAAAATTCCGCCCTCGAAAAAGAACAAAATTCCGCACCCCGAACAAAAATTCATGGCGTTACGATGCCCCCAGACGCAGCCCTAAAACAGTCGCAGAGGTCCGTATCGTGCACGCGTCGTTCCCGGAGCATGTCCCCTGAAAGCATGTCTGTCCTCGCACATATCCATCCCTAGAGCCTGTATCCCAAACAAGGGCCGGGGGTTGTCTTACGCGCACATCGTCGTGCAAGCTCGCGTCCACCGGTGCTACGTGTCGCTGTTCTCGGTGCCTTATAGCTGGACGAAGACAGAGACAGTGAAAGAAGGAGACGCGACACCGGACGAGGATGTCGGGTGGCTACAGAAAGAAGGAGAAAGAGATAGAGGGAGATAAAGAAAGAGTGAGAGAGAGGGAGGGAGGGAGAGAGAGAGAAAGAGAGGGAGAGAGAGAGAAAGAGAGCCAGGGGGTAGGATCGAGGCTGGCGCGCTAGTTTCCGCGTTCCACCGACACAGGCGGCTCAGGCGGCTCAGGCGGCGGCGCTGGCACAGGGAAAGAGATACACGCCTACACAAGGAGAAACCAGCCACGGGACAGAGACGGGGAAAGCTTGCGCGTATCCGGCCAAGCTCCGCGTTTCACGAACACCCGTCGGTTGGCCTGGCTGTTCAGTAAGCTCGGAGCTTTCGACCGGTCCAGTCGCGCGGCGTTCGATCGAGCCGCGGCGAAGTCGCGTCCCGTCGCGACGCATCCTCTCTTACGCAGTTGCGTGGGACATGTGCGTGTCCCGTTCGATCCCCCAGGTGCTCGTCGTTGGCTGAAAGGCGGCCGGCCAGGTGAAACAGTGATAGAATCGCTCGGTCCTCGGCGAGCCTCCTCGATGACGGTCGGACGAGAGCGAAAGAGCTGCGACAGCCACCGGGGAAGAGGCCCGAGAAGCGGCGAGCCGTGAACGAGCCAAAAGGCGATCCGGAGAGGACAGGGCTGAGTGGATGAGTCGGAGATGAGAGCAGATAAACGTCGATCAACGCCGGTGCTCGGCTATTCCCGCAGGCCCGACACTGGCCCGGCCTAGGACACCAGAACCGTGCGCCAATCGCGATCAGGGCTCTCGACCGGAAGTCACGGTAGCCAGGACGAGCGTGCAGGGCCAAGCCGCTCTCTCTCTCTCTCTCTCCCTCTCACTCTCTCTCTTTCTATCTCTCTATCTCTTTCTCGCACTCTCTTCCTATCTCCCTTTCTCTCGCTCGCTCGCTCGCTCGCTCTATAGCCTCGAGATCGATTCAGAGACCGTCGAATCAGCTTGATTACTGTCACGGAAGACGGATAGGAGCAGGGATCAGCGGCGCCGGACCCGCCGCACACTGATTTCCACGGAAAAATGAAATGATCGAGCACGGATCGGCCCGGCTCGATCTCGGCGTCGGATCCCGGGCCGCGTGAACCTACTGTGACCGATCGGACACTGGCGAATCGGATCACTCGGTGCTCCGTTGTTCTCGGCGCACGAAGTACGTTCGCCATCCAGTTCTGCGGTTGTTGCATAGGAAACGGTGGTTCCCCGCGTGTTTTCTCGATTTTTATTCGATCGCATTTTCGCTGCCGGCGCGAATTAAGAGAACCGTGGGAAACAACGTTTCTATTGTGGTCGCTGGTTTTGTGATTGCCGAGAGCTTCCGAGAGTCGCGCGTTCGCGGGGACGCTTTCGCGTCTGTTTTGTTTGAGTACAGTCGGCGTTCTGAGTCCGGTCCTTTCGATGATTACGTTGCGAGATAAGTGGCGATACTGAAAGTTCGCTTTCATCTATTTTGTCGCGCTGTTTCGTGCTTGCTGATCTTCGGGGAGTTGCAATCCGTGGGAATGCTTTTAATCCGTCTCGTTCGAACACAGCCGGATTGCGAGATTGCCCTTTTGAGGGATTAGGTTGTCGGACGAATGGCGATACGGAAAGTTTGCTGGTCACTCTCGTCACTGGTTCGTCACTTGATCCTCGAAGGGGGTTGCAATTCGTGGGAACGTTTCTTCGTTCTACTTCGTTCGCGAACAGTTGCATTACGAGATTGTTCCTTTCGGCGATTAGGTGATCAGATAAGTGGAGATACAGAAAGCTTGCTCGTCACTTTCGTCACCGTTTTGTGGTTCCTAATGAATCCACACGGGTTGGAATTGATCGGCAACGGTTTTTTTCATCGATTCTCTTTCCGTGCACGATTCAATCACGATATTGCTTTCGCAGAGATATGTTAGGTTTGTTGAATAACGCGACGATACAGAGATTCGTTTCCTCGTTGTTTTTCCCTATCTTTTTCATTGGTAAAACGGGTTGGAGCGGCGAGTATTATTTAAATAATACTTAAATAGTAACGTGGATTTTCTCTGTTTATGTTTTGTCATGTATCTTTTTGTTGTTTCTCACTAGGTATAGTTCGGATTTTGTTGTGTTTTCGTACCGCCGGGCCTGGTATCGCAATGGAGACGGCGGGCGAAACGGTGGAGCTTTAGGAGAAGTTCAATCGACCTCCTCGTTGATTTGTTGATTAAAGTGGCCGAATGTTTGTATACAAAGTGTAAATAAAACGTTGTTCGTGAAATCGTTCGAATTTCTGTTGTTTTTTTTTTTGTTCTTATTTCTCGTTTCAGTAACAGAGTTCATTTTTAGTCGAGGACGCCGGATCCGATGTTTCAATTAGACGTTGCCTAAGTACAACAACGGAGGTCGCAGGAAAGATATTCCTAGTTATATAAGATAGCAGTTGAAATTCACCGTTTCGTATGCATCAATCCGTAAGCATAAGAGTTACGTAGATAGCGAGGAAAGAGGAAACACTTGAGGGTTTTAAAAAAAGGGAACGCACGAAACTTGGAAGTGTCCTTTCTCATTTGATGCCGAGATATATCCTCGGAGGTAACAGCGCAATGATGTAGTAAACCCAATGGGAATATAAACAATAGCTGCGGGCTACGGTCTGTAAGCTCGGAACAATCTCCGTCATCTCGGAACATTTTCGAAACTGGTCTCAAAATGGGAACTAGTAAAACGTACAATTTTGCCCACCAGCGAGGCGGGTTCTCGTTTTCCTGCTATCGTGCCATCTTTTGTTAATTGCTCCGTACAAATTCCGCAGGGCCACTGTGTTTACTGCATCGCTACGGTAGAACCTCGATTAGCACTGGAAACTACTAAAACTAATCGAAATGACTGGATTGTAATCTCTTCTTCGACAATTCCCGTGAGATATTTTTAGACGAACTTCGTTATTCGAGCACACGTTATCATAGAAATCGTGCGAAATTTGAATGAATCCGATCTTGTTATAAAACAATGTACATCAGTCCTGTTAAAGGCTCGATAGTTATAGTATTAACTAGTTGCATTTCGATTCCTTTTGCTGTTATACTTGACTAGCACTTCTTTATTCTTAATCATTTCTCGGCAGTTTTCAAAATCGAAGATCAAGAGTTATGAATTTTTCGAAGATCGTTCGAAAGCTATTCTCATCCGTGATCCATCAAATTGTTTAAATTAATATAATTTAACAAGTTTGTTCGAAATTATTATTTAGAAGAATTATTTGGGCACAGTTCAAACATTGTGAAGCCTATTAAAATAACAGGAGATTTGATTTCGATTTAGAATAACGTCCATGTTTAGTAGATTATATAATGTAACAAGTTCGTTCGAAATTGTTATTTAGAAGAACATCGTCGAGCTTCTCTTAGGCATAAGTTCAGTCGCTGAAAAGCCTATTAATAACAGGAGATTTGATTTCGATTTGGAATAACGTCCATGTTTAGTAGATTATATAATGTAACAAGTTCGTTCGAAATTGTTATTTAGAAGAACATCGTCGAGCTTCTCTTAGGCATAAGTTCAGTCGCTGAAAAGCCTATTAATAACAGGAGATTTGATTTCGATTTGGAATAACGTCCATGTTTAGTAGATTATATAATGTAACAAGTTCGTTCGAAATTGTTATTTAGAAGAACATCGTCGAGCTTCTCTTAGGCATAAGTTCAGTCGCTGAAAAGCCTATTAATAGCAGGAGATTTGATTTCGATTTGGAATAACGTCCATGTTTAGTAGATTATATAATGTAACAAGTTCGTTCGAAATTATTATTTAGAAGAACATCGTCGAGCTTCTCTTAGGCATAAGTTCAGTCGCTGAAAAGTCTATTAATAACAGGAGATTTGATTTCGATTTGGAATAACGTCCATGTTTAGTAGATTATATAATGTAACAAGTTCGTTCGAAATTATTATTTAGAAGAACATCGTCGAGCTTCTCTTAGGCATAAGTTCAGTCGCTGAAAAGTCTATTAATAACAGGAGATTTGATTTCGATTTGGAATAACGTCCATGTTTAGTAGATTATATAATGTAACAAGTTCGTTCGAAATTATTATTTAGAAGAACATCGTCGAGCTTCTCTTAGGCATAAGTTCAGTCGCTGAAAAGTCTATTAATAACAGGAGATTTGATTTCGATTTGGAATAACGTCCATGTTTAGTAGATTATATAATGTAACAAGTTCGTTCGAAATTATTATTTAGAAGAACATCGTCGAGCTTCTCTTAGGCATAAGTTCAGTCGCTGAAAAGTCTATTAATAACAGGAGATTTGATTTCGATTTGGAATAACGTCCATGTTTAGTAGATTATATAATGTAACAAGTTCGTTCGAAATTATTATTTAGAAGAACATCGTCGAGCTTCTCTTAGGCATAAGTTCAGTCGCTGAAAAGTCTATTAATAACAGGAGACTTGATTTTGATTTAGAATAACGTCCATGTTTAGTAGATTATATAATGTAACAAGTTCGTTCGAAATTGTTATTTAGAAGAACATCGTCGAGCTTCTCTTAGGCATAAGTTCAGTCGCTGAAAAGTCTATTAATAACAGGAGATTTGATTTCGATTTAGAATAACGTCCATGTTTAGTAGATTATATAATGTAACAAGTTCGTTCGAAATTATTATTTAGAAGAACATCGTCGAGCTTCTTTTAGGCATAAGTTCAGTCGCTGAAAAGTCTATTAATAACAGGAGACTTGATTTCGATTTAGAATAACGTCCATGTTTAGTAGATTATATCTGTCTCTTATACACATCTAGATGTGTATAAGAGACAGGTTTAGTAGATTATATAATGTAACAAGTTCATTCGAAATTATTATTTAGAAGAACATCGTCGAGCTTCTCTTAGACATAAGTTCAGTCGCTGAAAAGCCTATTAATAACAGGAGATTTGATTTCGATTTAAAATAACGTCCATGTTTAGTAGATTGCGATAGTCTGACTCGTTATATTCACAGCACAGTTGAACAATCTGGAGCTGTTCAGCTTTTTAAATGTTCTCTGGTGCAATCATCGAGGTTCGACCGTGCACTGTCGCCAAAAAGTCGCGCTGTGTTGGTGGAACGAACGCGAACTCGTAAAAACAGAAGGGTGTAAAACGGAAACATTTCCGAGTGTCGGAGGACCATACTAGGATTGACCCTTCCCGGTCCCTAGACAAGGGCTCGAGGGTAACGAAACAACAGGAAACCAATCCCAGATAGCAGCAATAAAAGTCCCGGGGCCCCTTAAACTTCGAACTTGCCGTTCCGCGAGCGACCAGCGAAAAACAATTTTCGACCATTCTCATCTTTGAAAGAGAGGACTCTCTTTACGGAGACGTGATTCGTAATGTACCTTAAAAGGCTACGAGCAGGAATAAAGCGACACGGCGGAACAAAATTTCATCGTAAGGAAATCGCGGGAAAATCGAATTTTGGTTAAATGAATATCCAAAAGGTAGATAGTACGAGTCTCTTTGTGCAGTAATCGAGTATAAAGTTCGATGGAATTTAATCGCAGTTTGTGACCGTTTCATTCGGGCTTAGCGGAGCTGTGATTACGAAAGATTCGCGAAACGAATTTCTTTGCTATCTCTAATGTTTGCTAGGATTAAAGCATAATCATTGGGGAATTGGAATGTCGGCAGCGATATCGAATCTGCGGTGAAAGCTATCTCTGTGAGCTTCTATAATCATTAGACTCTGGATCTTTATGCAAAATAACAGAATTTCTGAATCAAGTGCATGGAACAGAAGCTAAATAAAATCGTATTACTTCTTCTGATGACTTCGATGGAGTGGAGTGAATGTAAAAATATAATATTTTTCAATTTTTTGTATGGCTTCATCGCTTCATATTTCAACAATAATTTTATAATAAACGAATGAAATCTCCAATTTGATAGTTACTGTATAAGCTCGCGACTAGACTGCGGATTTTATGCATTTATGATAAAAATGAGTAGATATCATTTAAAACAGTGCGATGATTGAAAGAAACTAAGAATGTCGATGCATTGATCCGAACTCATTAACATTATTAACGAAAGAAAAAAGGTAGTGCTTGGATCCTATGCCCTGCAATCGATGCAGACCATTTTTATTTTGCATAAAGATTCGCACATATCATATATTTTATATAATAAAACATTTCCGAATTAATTGCAAGCAACAGAATCTGAAACGTAATTCCCCTTCTTTATGATTTCAACAAATTGGACAGAACGTAAGAATGTTCTTAAATTCTTCAAATGGCTTCGTTCCTTCGTGTTTCAACAGCAATTTTATAATAAATACACAAAATCTCCAATTTAGTAGTTGCTACATAAGCTGGTGACACGATAGCACTATCAATATCCTCATAATTGCGACCAGGTAGAATTGATCGAAGAAATAAGGTGCAATCTGCGGGATTCGGGGCGACTTTCGACACTGGAATTTTTTTAGAAAAATGGAGAATGTAAGATGCAAAGTTTGCGACACAATTTTCCCATATTCTCGCGTGAAGAAATCAGCCGAAAAGTAGCTCGAAGTCTCGTTCCACCGACATCTGGCTCTACCTTCTTCCCTGAAGTCGCGTGGAGTTATTATGGGGGCCGCAGCGACGCCTCGATGCCGGCCATGGGGAGCCCCACAAAGGATTAACTTTCGCTCGATTGCAGGCCCAGGGATGCAGTAAAACCGGGTGCGTAAGTGAAAACGAAGGGAGCCGACCGAGGGAAGAGACGCGCAGGCTTCGCCTTATCTTTCTCGCACCTTGGAACCTCGAAATATTCACCGGACAGATAATCTGCCGGGGATCGATGGCAATTAAATCGTCGACGATCGACCGTTCGTCGTGGCAACTGTGTGATCGATAAACCGGTGATCAACGAAGGAAAACGCATCGATTTTTCGTGGCGCGAGAATATCTGCCGAAGAATCGTGGAGATTGAACAGGTACGTGTTCGTGATTAATTGTAATTGCATTTTGAACAATTTATAGCTGTTTTATTCAAGTATTTCTCGAGCTATGAGAGTCTTCGAAATTGGTCTTCTTGCTCTGACTTTCGTAAAAGAACTGATTGAAGCGAGAATTTGCACGAGGATACTCGAGCATAGTGAATCGAACAAATATTTTATCCGAAATGTAATGAATAGATTGCGGTCTTTTGGGCAAAATAAAAATTTGTTGCATCGATTGCAAGGCAAATGAGCCAAGTACAATTGACTTTCTTTCTTCCATTAATAAATTGAATAAGTTGCAAATAGTATACCAGCATTCTTGGTTCTTTTTAATCTTTCCACTGCATTTTATTTTTGTCACAAGTGTATAAAATTCGCAGTCTGATAATAAAACAAGCAATGAAATGAAGTTCCATATAGTCTCCATATTATTTCGAGACTATCGAACCATTCTTTATTCAGTAGACGAGTTAACACTTTCAATGGTTAACTATTTCTTAAAAAAAAATGATTAAAAAACTGCAATAATCTCATCAAAACCCATCAAAATTATTTAGATGAATCATTGTTTCGATCTTCAGCCAAAGTATTTAAATCGTTCACTTAATTACTCAATTAACGGCAATGAAATAAAACAAATTGCTGTTACAAAGCATGTCTAACATGTCTGCGAGAAAGAAAAACCCATCAAAATTATTTAGATGAATCATTGTTTCAATTTTCAGCCAGAGTATTTAAATCGTTCATTTAATTACTCAATTAACGGCAATGAAATAAAACAAATTGCTGTTACAAAGCATGTCTAACATGTCTGCGAGAAATATGTCTAAAATATGTTTTGTAAAATGGCTGAATTATGCTCAGAATTGTTACAAGCATCGCCAACAATACAGTCGTGAAAATGGTCCGCGGATTGAAAGACAATTATCGAGCTTCTTTTACATGCAAGCACAGTTATTGAAAAGTCTATTAACAGGCTTCCGGTAAGTGAATAATGAACATCTGCAATCGAATGGTCGCGCGTTTATTATTTGACGATCGATCGAGTGAACAATTTGTAAGAATTCCGCGCGGCGACAACGTCGAAGTGAATTGCTTGGTAAAACCGAGACCCGGCGGACCTCCTATGTCCTGTTCTATGAAAATATGCTCTTTTAAAGCTTGACCAAAGAGTCCTGTGTGCGCCACGCATGACCAGCGCTGCATTCAACGCGGTAAAGACGCCGGCAAAGAATATTTATTCGCGTATCGCGCTCCACCGCTAGCGAAATTATAAAGTTTGCCGTATTATTGCATTTTCTTTTTTTATACCCTTTACTCGCAGCCTGCCGCCGGCAGACCGTGAATTTTGCACAGTTCACAAAGGTGCACAGTAAAATAAGAGCTCCCTCTGACAAAGCTACGGAAACGCGCCCTTTTGGTTCTCGCTATTTAATTCAACTTTCCATGGAAACGGAACAATTCCTTCTGCACGTTAATCCACGGGACTTTCGTAGAATCGTACGTTCGCGGAAGGAACACCGTAATTAAAATGCCGCGGAATAAAATATCGTTACGTAATGGTGAAACGAAAGCGGAGAGGAAAATTTTTCGACGTAAAATGCGAACGATGAAGTCCGATGGAAAGGAAAAATGGGAGTTCCTCGGCACGGTTCAAAAGAACTATCGATCTTCCTTAATTTTATCTTTCAAAATGGCGACGCGCTGCAACGGCTGGCGAGTACAAAGGCAGCAGCAGCAGCAGCAGCACCGGCCTGGCGTCTTGGTAAATATGTCCGCCGGCGGACGTTAATTTAACGGATGGCTGGGTTGTTTTGCGCTGCAGCCGGTTATTTTCGACAGAAAACCCGTGGACAACCCGTTGAATATCAAATCGCGCAATTTCATAATTCAGTGATTAGACCAGTATTTCCCACGCGAGTCGTTCCCATCGTTTCCGTGAAACGGGCTGAAACGGGGGTGGAAGTTGGACTAGTCGGGTTCGCGGCTGCACGCTCTCCGCTGGCTCTTTCGAACGGGAAATCAAAACGCTGCTTTGTTCTCGCTTATTCGGGCCACTTAAACGTTATCTCTGAACATTGACACTGCACCTGGCCAACGCCATCGCGTTCAATAATCATTTAAAATCATCGATAATCTTATCGCATGTCCTGCGATCCCGGTGCTCCTTAAATTATGATGTGCGAAACACGTGAGAGCAAAGAATCTCTTTTACACTGTTCAGTGTCATCGCCTGATAGGTGAGAGAAACTGCATAAATAGATTATGCTCAACCTCAAATGCTTACTGTAAAAACAATGGATCGATAATCTCATTTTTAAATCGTCTTTATTAGGCATATCTACGGCGAATCATTAAAATTTGATATAACTTATAATTAATTTTTACGTCACTCTCATTTACGTTGTAAAAGGATCTTTGTCTGTAAAATAAATAAATAATCGATAGACGATTCTTATCGATTTTCATACGAATTTAAATTCAACTTTACGAATCTGTTCTGCTCGAATGAAAAAAGAATGATTTTTATATAGAATCATTTTGTAGACTCTCACGAGCACGACGGTGTATTATTCGTGTCATTATGAGCACTTAGGCGTGCGTGAATAATAACCGATTATTATAATAATTATATTATATTATAATATATTATATTATATTATAGTAATAATTATATTATAATATATTATATTATATTATAGTAATAATTATATTATATTATAATATATTATATTATAATAATAATTATATTATATTA